GCCATACATGACATCCGTGCCATAATTTTTTGTGTAGAAATTTGTTAGTTCTGTTCCTCACAAAGTCATGTGATGGCATATAAATTTTTGTATATATCCACGAAATGAAATGCCTGCAAGCACGCCATGAGCATGGCATTTAAACTATGCCAAACATGACATGCATGCCATACTTTGAATGTAAGGATCTCTCATTTATATTGCTCACACATGTTTTGTCACGTAATATATATTTTTCTATATATCCAGAAAATGATACAGCTGCAAGCACGCCATGAGCGTGGCATTTAAGTCATCCCATAAATGCCATGCGTGCGAAATTTTGAATATAAGAATCTCCTACTTATATTCCTCCACAGTTACGTCATGCAATATGAATTTAGGTATATATCTAGGAAATAAAATTGCTGCAAGCACGCCAAGAGCATGGCATGTAAGTCATGGCATACATGAGATGCCTGCCATATTTTAAATGTAAGTATTTCCTTTTTATATTCCTCACACAGTTATGTCACGCAATAGCGCTTTTGGTATATATCCAGTAATGTATAGGCTGGAAGCACGCCCCTAATTTGGCATGTAAGTCATGCCATACATGACATGTGCGGCATAATTTGATTGTAAGCATCTCATATATATATATACATATATATATATATATATATATATATATATATATATATATATATATATATATATATATTGTGCTCATACAGTATGCAATAAGAATTTTCGTGTGTATCCAGGAAATATAACTGCTGCAAGCACGCCATCAGCGTGGCATGTACTTCATGCTACACATGACATTCGTGCCTTCTTTTGAATCTAAGAATTTCTTATTTATATTTCTCAAACAGTTATGTCACGCAACACTGAATATGATATATATCCAAAGAATGAAACGGCTGCAAGCACGCCTTGAGCGTGGCCTGTGTCATGCCATGCATGACATGCGTGCCTTAATTTGAATGTAATGATCTCTTATTTATAGTCCTCACACAGTTATGTCCCGCAATATGAATTTTGGTATATATTCAGGAAATGAAATGGATGAAAGAGAGCCGTGAGCGTGGAATGTAAGTCATGCAATACATCACATGTGTGCCATAATTTGAGTGTCAGAATATCTCATTTGCCTTATACGGTTATGTCACGGCATATCAACTTCGGTATCTATCCAGGAAATGAAATTCTTGAAAGCACACATGAACGTGGCCTTTAAGACATGCCATACATAACAGACGTGCCATATTTTGAAAGTAATGATCTCTTATTTATATTCCCCACAGAGATATGTCATGCAATATGAATTTTGCTATATATCCAGATAATGAAACGGCTGCAAGCCCGCCGTGAGCGTGTCATGTAAGTCGCGTCATACATGACACGCGAGTGCTACTTTGAATGTACGGATCTCTTATTTATTTTTCTCTCACAGTTAGGTCCCGCAATATCAATTTCAGTATATATTGAGGAAATGAAATGGCTGCAAGCATGCCATGAGCATGGCATGTAAGTCACGCCATACATGACATGCGTGGCACATTTCGAATGTAAGTACTTCCTATATAAATTCCTCACACAGTTATGTCATGCAGTATAAATTTTTTATATATCCAGGAAATGGAACGGTTGCAAGCATGCCATGAGCGCGCCAATTAAGTCATGCCATACGAGACATGAGTGTCAAATTTTGAATGTAACGATCTCTTATTTATATTCCTCACACAGCTACATCCCGGATTATCAATTTTGGTATATTAGAGGAACTAAAATGGCTGCAAGCACGCTTGAGGGTGGCTTGTAAGTCATGCCATACATGATATGCAAGCCATGTTTTGAATGTGAGGATTTTCTGTTTACATTCCTCACACAGTTATGTCACGCAATATCAATTTTGGTATATATCCAAAAATAAAATGGCTGCAGGCACGCCACGATATAGGTATGTATGTCATGCCATACGTGACATGCGTGCCATATTTTGAATGTAAGAATATCTTATTGATATTCCTTAAACAGCCATGTCATGGCATATATATTTTGGTATATATCTAGGAAATAATATGCCTGCAAGCATGCATGAACGTGGCATTTGAGACGTGCCACACATGACGTTCATGTCATATTTTGAATGTACCCATCTCATATTTATAGTCTTCATACAGTATTGTGATGCAATATGACTTTTGGCACGCATCCAGTGAATGAAACAGCTGCAAGCACGCCATGAGCGTGCATTTATGACAAGCCATATATAGCATGCATGCCATTTTTTAATAAAGGGATATTCTATTTATATTCCTCATACCGTTATGTCTTGTAATATTAATTTTTCTATACATCAGAGAAATGAAATGGTTTCAAGCACACCATGAGCGTGGCATGTAAGTCATGTCATACGTGACATGTGCGCCATAATTTGTTTGTAACAATTCCTTATTAATATTCTTCACACAGTTTTGCCACGCAATAATAGTTTTGCTATATATCCAGAAAATGAAACGGCTGCAAGCACGCCGGGAGCGTGGCATGTAAGTCATGCCATACATGACATGCGTGCCATATTTTGAATGTAGGTATCTCCTATTCATATTCCCAATACAGTTCGGTCGTGCGATATTAATTTTTCTATATATGCAGGAACTGAAACGTCTGCAAGCACGGATTGAGCGTGGCATGCAAGTCATGCCATACATGGCATGCGTGCAATATTTTGAATGTAAGGATCGCTTGTTAATATTTCACCACAGTTCTGTCCTGCAATATGAATTTTGGTATATATCCAGAAAATAAAATGGCTGCAAGTAAGCCATGAGCGTGGCATGTAAGTCACGCCATACATGACTGGCGTGCCATATTTTGAATGTACGAATCTTTTATTCACATTCCTCAAACAATTTTGTCGCGTAATATCACTTTAGGAATATATCCGAGAAATGTAATGGCTGCAAGTAGGCCATGAGCCTAGCATGTAGGTCATTCAATACATGACATTGGTGCCGTATTTTGAATGTAGGTATCTCCTATTGATATTCCTAATACAGTTAGGTCGTGCGATATTAATTTTTCTATATATGCAGGAACTGAAACGTCTGCAAGCACGGATTGAGCGTGGCATGCAAGTCATGCCATACATGACATGCGTGCAATATCTTTAATGTAAGGATCACTTGTTTATATTCCATCACAGTTATGTCCTGCAATATGAATTTTGGTATATATCCTGAAAATAAAATGGCTGCAAGTAAGCCATGAGCGTGGCATGTAAGTCACACCATATATGACTGGCGTGCCATACTTTGAATGTAAGGATCTCTTATTTACATTCCTCAAACAATTTTGTTGCCACGAACCTACCCAATTTTGTCGCCACGAACCAAGTAGGCCACGAACCTAGCATGTAGGTCATTCCATACATGACATGGGTGCCATATTTTGAATGTGAAGATCTTATAACTACATTGCACACGGTATTGTGATGTAATATGAATTTTAGAATGTATCCGGAAAATGAAATCGCTGCAAGCGTGCTAGCAGCGTGGCATGTATTTCATGGCATACATGACATGCGTGCCATAATTTGAATGTAAGGATCTCTTATTTACATTCCTGACACACTTAAGTCACGCAATATCAGGTTTGGCATATAGCCAGGAAATGAAGTGGCTGCAAGCATGCCACGAGCGTGGCATGTAAGTCATACCATACTTCACATTTTGCATATTTTGAATTAACGATCTCATATTTATATTCCTAACACAGTTAGGTGATGCAATATGAATTTCAGTATATATCCAGAAAAGGAAATGGCTGGAAGCACGGCACAAACATGGAAGTAAACCAAGCCATACATGATATGCGTGCCATATTTTCAATGTAACAATATCTTATTTATATTCCTTACCAGGTCATATATTGGCATATCAAATTTTTTATATATCCAGGAACTGAAATGGCTGCAAGCACTCCATGAGCGTGGCATGTAAGGCATGCCATACATGAAGTGCGTGCAATATTTCGAATGTGAGAACTTTTTACTTATATTCTTCCACAGGTATGTCCTGCAATTAGAAATCAGGTATATATCCTGGAAATAAAGTGCCTTCAAGCACGCCATGAGCAAGGAAACAAATCAAACCTTACACAATATGCGTGCCATATTTTGAATGTAATAATGTCCTATTTATATTACTCAATAAGTCATGTCATTGCATATCAATTTTTCTATATATCCAGGAAGTGATATGGATGCAAGCGCGCCATATGCGTGGCCTGTAAATCATGCCATACATGACATGCATGCAATATTTTGAATGTAAGACTCACTAATTTATAGTCATCCACAGTTATGTCCTCCAATATTAGTTTAGGTATATATCCAGGGAATAAAATGACTGCAAGCACGCCATAAGTGTGGCAAGTAAGTAATGTCATACATGATATGCCGGCCGTAACTTTAATTTAAAAATCTTTTATTTACATTCCTCACACAGTTATTTAAAAATTTTTTATTTACATTCCTCACACAGCTATGTCACGCAATATCAATTTTGGCATATATCCAGGAAATAAATGGCTGGAAGCATGCCACGAGCGTGGAATGTAAGTTATGCAATACATGACATGTGTGCCATAATTTGAGTGTTAGAATATCTTATTTTACTTATACAGGTACGTCATGGCATATGGAATTTGGTATATATCCAGGAAATAAAATGCCTGCACGCACACATGAACGTGGCATTTAGGACTTGCCATGCATAACAGGCGTGCCATATTTCGAATGTAATGACCTCTTGTTTATATTCCCCAAACAGATATGTCATGTGATATCATTTTTGCTATATATCCTTGATAATGAAACGGCTGCAAGCACGCTGTGAGCGTGGCAGGTGAGTCATGCCATACATGACATGTGTGCCATACTTTGAATGTATGTATATCTTACTTATAGTCCTCACACAGTTGCGTCATGCAATATCAATTTTTTATATATCCAGGAAATGAAATGGCTGCAAGCACGCCACGAACGTGGCATGTAAGTCATGCCATACCTGACACCGTGTCGTATTTTGAACGTAAGTATCTCATATATATATTGCTCATACAGTATTGTGATGCAATATGAATTTTGGTATGTATCCAGGAAATATAACTGCTGCAAGCACGCCAACAGCGTGGCAAGTACTTTATGCCACACATGACATGCGTGCCTTATTTGCAATGTAAGAATCTCTTATATCTATTCCTTAAAGAGTTTTGTCACGAAACATCCAGTGAACAAAACGGGAGCAATCATGCCAGGAGCGTGCCATGTAAGTCAGGCCATACATAACATGCGTGCCACCTTTGAATGGAAGGATCTCCTATTTATATTCCTCACACAGTTATGTCCTGCAATATGAATTTCGGTATATATTCAAGCAATGAAATGGATGCAAGCATGCCATGAGAGTTGGATCTAAGGCATGCCATACATAATATGGGTGCCATATTTTGAAGGCACGAATATCTTATTGATATTCCTCACACACTCATGTCATGGCGTATCAACTTTGTTATATAACCAGGAAAAGAAATGCCTGCAAGCACGCCATGAGTATGGTATTTGAGACATGCCATACATGATATGTATAGCCATATTTTGAATGTAAGAATATCTCTATATATATACCTCAAAAGTTTTGTAACGCAATATCAATTTTGGTATATTTCCAGAACATAAAATTACTGCAAGCACGCCGTGAGGGTGGCATGTAGGTCATGCGATACATGATATGCTTGCGATATTTTGTATCTAAGTATCTCTTTTTTATATTCCTAACATAGTTAGGTCTCACAATATATTTTGGTATATATCAAGGAAATAAAATGGCTGTGAGCACGCCGTGAGCGTGGCATATAAGTCATGCTATACTTGACATGCGTGTCATATTTTGAGTGTAAGAATATCTTATTTAACATCCTCAAACAGTTATGTCATGGCATATCACTTTTGGTATATATCCAGGAAACGAAATGCCTGCAACTATGCATGAACGTGGCATTTAAGACATGCCATACATAACACGCGTGCCGTATTTTGAATGTAACGACCTCCTATTTATATTCCTCACACAGTTAAGTCATGCAATGTCCATTTTTCTATCAATCTTGGAAATGAAGCGGCTACAATCAGGCAATGAACGTGGCATGTAAGCCATGCCATACATGAAATTTGTGCCATTATTTTAATGTGAAAATCTCATTATTCGATTCCTCACACAGCTTTGCCACGCAATATAATTTTTGCTATATAACCAGAAAATAAAATGGCTGCAAGCACGCCGTTAGCTTGGCATGTAAGTCATGGCATACATGACATGTGTGCCATATTTTGAATGTATGTTTATCTTAATTATATTTCTCACACACTTACGACTAGAAACTTCCATTTTTCTATATATCCAAGAAATTAAACGGCTGCAAGCACGCCATGATCTTGTCATTTAGGTCATGCCATATATGACTCGCGTGTGATATTTTGAATGTATGGATATCCTATTTATATTTCTCACGCAGTTAAGTCCGGCAATATGAATTTTGGTATATATTGAGGAAATGAAATCGCTGCAAGCACGCCATGAGCGTGGCATGTCAGTCACACCATACACGACATGCGTTCCATATTTTGAATGTAAGGATCTCTTATTTACATTACTCAAAATTTTGTCGCGTAATATCACTTTAGGTATATATCCAAAAAAATTAATGGCTGCAAGTAGGCCACGAACCTAGCGTGTAGGTCATTCCTTACATTACATGGGTGCTATATTTTGAATGTATCTTATATCTGCACTGCACACAGTATTGAGATGTAATATGAATTTTGGTGTGTATCCAGAAAATGAAATGGCTGCAAGCGTGCTAGCAGCGTGGCATGTATTTCATGCCATACATGACATCGTGCCATAATTTGAATGTAAGGATCTCTTATTTACATTCCTGTCACACTTAAGTCACGCAATATCAATTTTAGCATATATCAAGGAAATTAAATGGCTGCAAGCATGCCACGAGCGTGGCATGTAAGTCATGCAATACATGACATGTGTGCTATAATTTGACAGTCAGAATATCTTCTTTTCCTTATACAGGCATGTCACGGCATATCAATTTTGGTATATATCCAGGAAATGAAATGCCTGCAAGCACACATGAACGTGGCATTTAGGACATGCCCTACATAACAGGCGTGCCATATTTTGAATGTAATGATCTGTTATTTGTATTCCCCACACAGATATGCCATACAATATCAATTTTGCTATCTATCCAGATTATGAAACGGCTGCAAGCACGCCGTGAGTGTGGCAGGTGAGTCATGCCATACATGACATGTGTGCCATCTTTTGAATGCATGTATATCTTACTTATAGTCGTCACACAGTTGCTTCATGCAATATAAATTTTTTTATATATTCAGGAAATGAAAGGGCTGCAAGCACGCCATGAGCGTGTCATGTAAGTCGTGCCATACATGACACGTGAGTGCTACTTTGAATGTACGGATCTCTTATTTATATTTCCCACACAGTTAAGTCTGGGAATATGAATTTCAGTATATATTGAGGAAATGAAATGGCTGCAAGCACGCCATGAGCATGGCATGTAAGTCGCGCCATACATGACATGCGTGCCGCATTTTGAATATAAGTATCACCTATATAAATTTATCACTCAGTTATGTCATGCAGCATCAATTTTATATATATACAGGAAGTGAAACGGCTGCAAGCATGCCATTTAAGTCATGCCATACAAAACGTGCGTGTCAAATTTTGAATGTAACGATCTCTTATTTATAATCCTCACACAGTTACGTCCCGGAAATTCAATTTTGGTACATTCGAGGAAATAAAATGGCAGCAAACATGCCATGAGGGTGGCTTGTAAGTCATGCCATACATAATATGCGTGCGATCTTTTGTATATGAGGATTTTTTGTTTACATTCCTCAGACAGTTATGTCACGCAATATCAATTTTGGTATATATCCAGGAAATAAAATGGCTGCAAGCACGCTACGACATTGGTTTGTATGTCATGCCATACGTGACATGTGTGAAATATTTTGAATGTAAGAATATCTTATTTATATTCCTCATGCAGCCATGTCATGGCATATATATTTTGGTATATATCCAGAAAATGATATTCCTGCAAGCACGCATGAGCGTGGTAATTGAGACACGCCACACATGTCATGCATGTCATATTTTGAATGTAAGCGTCTCATATTTATAGTCTTCATACAGTTTTGCGATGAAATGTGAAATTTGGCATGCATCCAGTCAAGGAAACAGCATCAAGCACGCCATGAGCGTGCATTTATGACAAGCAATATATAACATGCATGCGATTTTTCGACTGTAAGGATATTCTATTTATATCCTCACACCGTTATGTCTTGCAATATCAATTTTTCTATACATCAGAGAAATGAAATGGTTGCAAGCACGCCATGAGCGTGGCATGTAAGTCATGCCATACATGACATGCTTGCCATATTTTGAATGTAGGTATCTTCTATTCATATTCCTAATAAAGTTAGGTCATGCGATATCAATTTTTCTATATATGCAGGAACTGAAACGTCTGCAAGCACGCATTGAGCGTGGCATGCAAGTCATGCTATACATGACATGCCTGCAATATTTTGAAGGTAAGGATCGCTTGTTTATATTCCACCACAGTTATGTCCTGCAATATGAGTTTTGGTATATATCCAGAAAATAAAATGGCTGCAAGTAAGCCATGAGCGTGGTATAAAAGCCATGCGATACATGATATGCATACCATATTTCTAATGTAACGATCTCTTGTTTACATTCCTCAAGCAATTTTGTCACGTTATATCACTTTAGGTATATATCCAAGAAATGTAATGGCTGCAATTAGGCCACGAACCTAGCATGTAGGTCATTCCATACATGACATGGGTGCTATATTTTGAATGCAGGATCTTATAACTACATTGCACACAGTATTATGATGCAATATGAATTTTGGTATGTATTCAGAAAAGGAAATGGCTGCAAGCGTGCTAGCAGCGTGGCATGTATTTCATGCCATACATGACATGCGTGCCATAATTTGATTGTAAGGATCGCCTATTTACATTCCTGACACACTTGAGTCACGCAATATCAATTTCGGCATATATCCAGGAAATAAAATGGCTGCAAGCATGCCACGAGCGTGGCATGTAAGTCATACCATACTTCACATTTGTGCCATGTTTTGAATTAAGGATGTCATATTTATATTCCTAACACAGTTAGGTGATGCAATATGAATTTGAGTATATATCCAGAAATTGAAATGGCTGGAAGCACGCCACAAGCGTGGAAGTAAGCCAAGCCATACGTGATATGCGTGCTATATTTTCACTGTAACAATATCTTATTTATATTCCTTATTAGGTAATGTCTTAGCATATCAAATTTTCTATATATCCAGGAAATGAAATGGCTACAAGCACGCCACGAGCGTGGCATGTACGTCATGCCAAACTTCACATGTGTGCCATATATTGAATGTAAGGACCTGATAATTATATTCGTCACACAGTTATATCGCGCAATATCAAATTTGTGTATATAGAAGAAATGAAATGGCTGCAAGCACGCCATGAGCGTGGCCTGTAAGTCGTGCCATACATGACATGCATGCCATATTTTGAATGTATCTTTTTTATATTCCTAACATAGTTATGTCCCACAATATATTTTGATATATATCCAGGAAATCAAATGGCTTTGAGCACGCCGTGAGCGTGGCATATAAGCCATGCCATACTTGGCATGCGTGTCGTATTTTGAGTGTAAAAATATCTTATTTAAAATCCTCAAACAGTTATGTCATGGCATATCACTTTTGGTATATATCCAGGAAACGAAATGCCTGCAACTATGCATGAACGTGGCATTTAAGACATGCCATACATAACACGCGTGCCGTATTTTGAATTTAACGACCTCTTATTTATATTCCTCACACAGTTAAGTCATGCAATGTCCATTTTTCTATCAATCTTGGAAATAAAACGGCTGCAAGCAGGCAATGACCGTGACATGTAAGTCATGCCATACATGACATTCGTTCCATAATTTGAATGTGAAGATCTCATAATTCTATTCCTCACACAGCTTTGCACGCAATATCAATTTTGCTATATATCCAGGAAATGAAATGGCTGCAAGCACGCCGTTAGCATGGCATGTAAGTCATGCCATAAATGACATGTGTGCCATATTTTAAATGTATGTTTATCCTAATTGTATTTCTCATGCACTTACGTTATGAAATATCCATTTTTTTATATATCCAGGAAACTAAACGGCTACAAGCACACCATTATCTTGTCATGTAAGTCATGCCATACATGGCACGCGTGTGCTATTTTGAATGTATGGATCTTCTATTTATATTTCTCACACAGTTAAGTCCGGCAATATGAATTTCGGTGTATATTCAGGAAATGGAATGGTTGCAAGCACGCCATCAGCGTGGCATGTAGGTCACACCATACATGGCATGCGTGCCATATTTTAAATGTAAGTATTTTTTCTTTATATTCCTCACACAGTTATGTCTTGCAATATTGTTACAGAAGAGAAACGCCGTCTCGACGAGGCTTTGGATGAAATATATTTCAAAGCAGCAGCAGCGGCGGTGTGACGTCACTAAGAGGGTGGTAGGGCTTCAAGCGCCCAACATGTACAATATCGGTAGCCAGTTGGGCACATGAAGGCGATGGGGCGACAGGACCAATTTCATATGTCACAGGAGTAACCACACGAACGAGTCGGTATAAACCTGTGTAGCGAGTAAGCAGTTTTTCTGACAAGCCAACTTGACAGGTCGGAGACGAGCATGGCGTTCTTTAAAAATATTTAAAATTGTAAAAATTCCCTGCGAAATGTATCGTAAACGATATGAACAATTTGGAGGCCTAAAACGGTGCTTTCCTGCCCATTTTTGTGGCCTGTAACACACTTTTTAGAGCCTAAATATCCGGACTCTAGCATCATTACCGTCATACAACCAGCGCTTGACCCCGCTACACATTGCCTTCTCTCACACACGACTCCCACACGCCGCCTTCGTCGAGGCTCCTCCTCTTCGCTTGAGCACCTACATGTCTCCAACCCCCAACACACTTGCTTTCTTTACTCGACTCCGCTATGCTAGCGCAGAATGGACTCTGCTATACTATTCTATACATTCCCTCGTTCTTTTTTTCCTCTTCCCCTTTACGTCATTCCTCCTCACGTCATTCCTCCTCACATCCCTTTCGCCATCTTATAATACACATGGCTATGCTATGCTTCATGCACTCCCCTCTTATTTCGGATCGTCACGTGGCGCTTGCTATACAAGAAATGGCCAGGCTATGGCAGGAGCCCTTCGTACATAGATGCAAGCTTAGTTAGAGACGGCATCTTCATTTTAGTGCATATTTTAAATATTTATATGAAAAAATATGGGAAGGTGGGCTCGGCATGTGCCGCCTATCCTAATATCACCGTAGTAATATACACGACACTCACAAAGATAAGAAAATACGAGTAGAATAAAAGAGGCAAAAAGTAATCAGAATGACTATGTATAACAGCGTCAAATGAAACCCGGACCGCGGCAAGTCTCCGCGATGGTATGATGCACACTGTTCACTTATTACAATTGACAGGCGCACGCATCCTGTTCAGCAGCTCTGAGCCTTTATGCGTGCCCGTTCATGGTGATAAACGGACGGCGTGCCTGTACGATCGCGGAGCCTTGCCATTGTTCGGGTTTCAATTGACGCTGATAGTACGTGTACGAAAAATTTACTATCCTTAAGCATGACCTTTTAGAGTTGAACGCGATAGCGGCATTGTGTCCCTACACTCTATAAAGAGAGAGAGAGAGAGAGCATACCTGACTCTTTTCGGATGGTTTTGACTTGCCACGTATACGACTCTCTTTGGAGAGACAGGCTGACTCTCTTGAGGGGTCAGAGCCAGCGCACGCTAGGAGCGTCTTCTGACCCTCTAAGGAAGAGTGAATTCACTCTTTTGCGAAGCATCGTATTATCGCTTTTTAGGGAGTCAGAAGACTTTTGCCAGTGATGTTCCTACGTGGGTCAAACGACTCTGCGGCTATTTTTAGCTACTAAATTCAAAAATGCCTACTTTTGTACAACTACTGCTGGAAATAGTGAAGTATTTTTTAAGCAACTACAATACTACGCATTGTTGTGCCCAGCAACTGAAAAAATGTATTTTAAATTTAGCATTATTTTAATAACCCTCGTCTAAACAAAATATTTTAGCAGGATAATACAGAGAGCGCGATAAGATGGTTTGTGAATTATAATGAGGTTACTCTCATCTACATGCTTCTATGAGTATATCCAGTCAAAATATGTGTAACGTACATAGTATGAAGTCTAGCAAAATATACTGCAGATATCAGCATTGTGTTTTCGTATTTATTTCTTATGATTATGAATAAATGAAAAAGTCATGATGGCTGGAGCAATCAAACATGTGGCTTGATATGTTGCCGCTCCTGTTCAGTGCGAGCGTCCTTGAAAAAAGGAACCTCAAAAAGAACCTGAAAAAGAGAACGTAAAAACAAGATGAGAAACAGAATCGCAAATACTGCCCATACCTACACAAAAATCAATTTACATAGGCATTTAGCAGGCTCACAACAAAATGAGATATGCAAACCAGTAAATTCGGATGAAGCAAGGTGTTTTGCGAATAATAAATACTTAAAATAGAGGTTTTTCAAGGACTTCATCAAATACTTGTCCCACTGAAAAAAGTCCTCGCTATACTGGCCTGAAATAGGCACCGGCAAGCACTCATCCAATTGATTTTTGATAAACCATTACAAAATTCGCTTCCAGAATAAGTCCCCGGCATACTCTGACAACCAAGCCCGTGCTCTGGCAGTCAGGGGCACACCGTGAGTGGTTATTTACCACGAGATTTACAAACGTACTCATCCTTAAATACTCGGTTAAACACATGCATGCAAGTACGAGTGCTCGAACGGCACCAACACGCGTGGGCGCCGTCCAACGTATATGTGAACTTGTAGCGTAACGTTGATGGAAGCCCATTGATACAGTAGTTAGCAGCTCATTGCCGCCATTGCCGTCTATGTAAAGGGGAGACAATTTACAGCAAACAAAAATAAAAATAAAATATGATGTCAATACTGGAAGTGGTAGCGACGTTGCGCCTTTACACTACACGGCGCGAAATAGACATTTTTCTTAATTGCAGCACTTCTACGTTCAGGTATTATTGCACAATTTTATCGCGCTTTGTGCCTCGCTAATTGCATGCGGGAGAGAAAGGAGAAAAAAGAAAGATCCAGGAAGTAAAACTGTTCTATGAGCCAAATTACGCGTTTACAATTTGCACCAGAAACTTCGCAGAGGCTATTGTGAGAAAACTGTTCACAAGAACAGTAGCTCAATAGTTCGAAACCTCACGTTGTCCAATCGTCAAAAACTACTGCAGTGAGACAGCCGCTTTGAACATGTATCTCCGGCAATCATAGAGTACAGCGTCTAGTTGTTTAGCGTGCCGCGTTCACCATCACCTAAGGCGGGGGCACGCCA